ATAATTAAATTAATTTTTTATCGTGAATCTTAAAATTCATACTTGAAAGTATGATATATACTAATATATTGGTGGAATTACAACGACTAAATTATACTCAATTTGAGTTAGGGTATTACGTTTGTTTGTCCCGATTACAAATCCGATTGAATTTTTTTTTTTTAATCTTAAAAAAATGTGTAGTTTATGATAATGTTTTTAACTAATTGCTTTTTGATGTATGCTTGTGGCACCAACCAAAAGCAAAAAGCATAGACTTTTAGGTACTTTTAAAATGGGTTTTAACAAACACAAAACTTAACATCATCACTTAGCAAACTAACTAATGGGTCGGTGGTAACTCATTAATTAATTAATTGAATACTTAAATATTGGTGATATGTGTGTGTGTGTCTCTGTATATATATACACGTATACATACATATATACATATACATATATGTATATAAATGAGGAACTAGTAGTAAATGACCTAAAACACAATCCACTGAAAAGGAGGAGCTGATTTCGATAGGCTAAGATGCTTTAAATTTTTTTCTTCTCACCTGTTTCCTTATCTTGCCTTTTGTGTTAGCCTTATGCAACACCTGTGAATCCCATGCACAAACATGGTCCCCCATTTACACATTTGTATGTATATGTGTATATACGTTATCTCCATATACATGTCCTTTTGGCAATTAGATATACATGTATACACATATTTTAAAAGTAATTATTAAAGTTGACTGGATATTTTGTTCAGTTAAACGAGCAAGAAAATATTAAATAAGTAAAATTAAGGCACAACGAGAAAAACCCATGTTCTAATGCGTACTCTTTTTGGATATATACACATATATGTATATATATGTATGATGTATACCTTACAGTCTTACAACAAAAACAGAGACAGAAAACCAAAAAGAGAAAAAGAAGAAAAGAGAGGGAAGCAGGGGCATGAATAAGGTTTACCTGTCTGCATGTGGTAGCGTACTGGGCGTGACAATATTCTATCTTAATTTTCCTCCTCTTTAGGGACCACATTTCATCTTCTTTACTTTTAATATATATATATATATATATATACACACCCACATATACATACACACACACACACACACACATCTCCTTTTGAATTATTAAGAAAAATATAATATTAATGGAGCAATACCTAATATATAATTATTATACACATACAAAAATCATCAAATAAGATTGATGTAAGGATATAATTTAATGAGTAGGTGTACAACTACTCAGATAAGTTAATCATATCTGTTATTTAATAATATGTATGTATGTATATATATATATATATATTGTTATTGATATTTAGCTAGTCTTGTGAATTATGACATATATACTAAAAAATTATGACCATTATGGAGCTGCATCATATCTG